ACCTAACCAACCCTAGAATTCAATAAACATAACCCACTAACTAAAACTACGCACACAAAAAATACCACCAAGTGCATCCACTTATTAACACCACCCCACGCATCAAAACCGTATCTTTATAACACAACAATGAAACCAGCCAACACTAAAAATGAACATACAAATGACACTAAAAAAAAAAAACTGTGCACACAACCGCCCCTATACATGCACCCATTTAAAAAATTCACTACGAAAATGTTCAAAACGAAAATAACAGAGGTTCACTAACACCACGTAAAAAAATCATTCTATTAATACTACTAGTCCATTAATAAATAACTAAGATTCAAAACATATTAATATGAGTATCGTTCAAAAGATCTCATTCAAAATGCTTAATAATATATTCTGTACTATTAATTGTACATCCTGTTCTGAGAAACTGACTATATTAGATTTTACTGTTTTGGATGTTGATGGTGGGGTTTTCTTGTTTTCTAGCTTGATTTTACATTGCAAAATGGCGTGGAAGCTGTGCGAATTCTTGTGCTGGAGAGTTTTGATAAAAGTGCGACACTTGTTAATAGCGCCAAACCATTACAACAATTTAGTTTTTTTTTTTGAAAAACAACAATTTAGTTAAATTATTCAATATACAGTCTTGCTATTGTCAAAAATCATTTCAAATGCAAGGAATGAAGGGATCTGCTCATCTGCCACTAACACCAGGTAGTACAATTTAAAAACACACAGCAACAAGCTACTCTTCGAGAACCACCGTCCACACCACCCCCACCCCCCCTCCCAATCACACACAACTCGCCTACCGATGGAAACAATTACAGAATAAAAATCAAAAAAATAGGAGGGAAATTATAAAAACTTACATTTAGCTAACAATAATTGAACAATCGGTACAGGAAAGCAAAAAAAAAAAAAAAAAACAAAAAAAAACACAAAACAAAAAACAAACCCAATAAACCCCTACTCTAAATCCGCCGCCAATACCCACCGTTAACCCAATAAACCCCTACTCTAAATCCGCCGCCAATACCCACCGTTAACCCAATAAACCCCTACTCTAAATCCCCCCCCCCCCACTCACACACACTTCTCCTGATGCTGAGAACACACATGCATAATGACCCTCTATCAACGACAAACACCCGAAGCCAAACACTGCGAAAGGGGGCAAGACATACCTGGCTTTTTCCGCTTGGCTCCACTGCGGTCCCCCTCTACGCCCATTGTCCAAGCTGCTGATGAAGACCCGAATCGCCGGCGAGAAAGCAGATGCACGGTCACGGCAGAGAAGAAGAGAGAGTCCGGGAAAGCAGAGAAGGAGAGAGAGCCCGGGAAAATCGATGTGTGATGATGATTCAATCCCTATAGGATTTGAACCGATTAAAATAAATTAAAACCCCCAAAATACCCCCCCCCCCTTACCGTAAATTAGCACACTACTTTATTAAAACCCACCCTAAATAATTAATTAAATCCTGGCCATCCAAACCCAAAATCCAACGCCCTTGATGAATCTGCACATTTTTATTTTAAGACCCGTTTGTATTTGAATAGAATCCTATATATATATATATATATATATATATATATATATATATATATATATATATATAACAAAAAATGAATTAATATTACACGGAATATTAGGAATATAGACTAATTACTTATATAGAAATATTATTATGCTAATATACACTAATTAATTATGGTAATATTATTAACGTGTACATTTTTTGAATTAGCGAATAATTAATGTGTATTTCTTATATGGTATTATGTAATATATATAACAAAAAATTAATTAACATTACACAGAATATTATGGATATAGACTAATTAATGAATTAGGTATAACGTTTACCTTTTTTGAATTAACGTGTATTCCTTATATGGTATTATGTAATATATATATATATATATATATATATATATATATATATATATATATATATATTACCAATTTAAAAATATTTTTTTATTCAATTGACTCATATATGAATTGGTTAAAAAAATTATGTGTTATATACCGCAATAATATTTTCATAATTAATTATTCTATATTCATAATATTTCGTGTAATATTAATCTGTTTTTGGTTTTATATATATATATAACCAATTCATAAATGAGTCAATTGAATAAAAATATATTTTTAAATTGGTAATATATATATATATATATATATATATATATATATATATATGTTATGTATTATTAATTATTTGAGTGGAAGAGTTTAGGCGGGAAAACACAAAGGATGATTTTGTTTGGGTGGGAAATAAGTATTTTAGAATGATTCACACTACAATTGTATTACCCATTATTGAAAACTTCTTTGTTTACGAGATTTTTAATCGTACTTACAGATGGTACAATATTCGCACATATCAAAAATTTTAATCACATTTAATTTACTTACTCTTGAGACTGCTACGTACATTTGACCATGATTAAAATGTTATTTTTAAAATTGGTAACCGCCATGTCAGCATGTTTTTAGGTAAACAGGTTATTTTGGATCTAATTGCATGAGTTTGTGCTATTCAGGGATCCAATTGCATTGTTTTTTTAGTTCGGTGTGTAGTTGAATGACCTATTTGACTCTTATTCAAATATATTAATTATAAAAAATTTAATTTAAATTTTTTATGCAATGGAAATACATACCTACCAAATATACGGGATTGAAAGTCTAACTATATTCTAAATTTTAGTATCTTTTGATTTTCTTAGTTTTTAATTAAATTAATGATACCATAATTTATTTCGTATATCACACAGCTAAAAAACTTGTAGTCGAATAATAAAAGTAGGAAAAGTAACATATTAATTTGTATGAAATATAATAGTAGGGTACAAAGCCCCCAACCAAATGATAATTCAGATTATTCAACTTTTTAATAAAAACTCACTAAAAGCATGCTATATTCCAATCGCTTTTGACAACAATGTGATCTCCTAATTTATAATTTGATTATTTGAGATAGGAAGTCGTCTCGTGCATATTGCTTCGCAATCGGCTTTTGTACGATAGCATGCCCCAGTAAAACAACACCAACATGCTTTATTAGGATCATGGCAAGTTTGTTTACAATAATCAATCGTTATTTTCTTATTTGTTGATATCCGACCTATAACAATAAAAACAACAACAACAACAACAAAAGTTATATGTTTAAGACAACAATTTAGATTTTAAATGAAGAGAGAAGATGACAACAAGCACAAGATATAATAGTCGAGGGACTATTTCAATAATAAACTCTATATACTATACACATACATTCATGAGTGCTAAACAAAGTAAAAATTGTCAGATATAAGACAATCAAATATTTGATATTCATAATCGCCATTGTTTCTTCAGTAGTTTGTGTGTATATTTGTATCCAACCGTAAGAGAATCATATTGAAGATGAAGCATTAATTTATATACCCTGTTAATCCTAAAAATTTGGTAAATGTATAATAAATAAGGAAATAAATAATAAGCAATATTTTCAAAAAAATAATAATAAGCAATATATTTTACGTAGTACCTACCGATTCCAATGGAAATTTATAATTATTACTAAAACGGAAGTAAATCTACAAAATATAGACTAATTAATTCTGAAAATATTAATAATGGAAATTTGTAATTATTATGCTAATATAGACTAATTAATTATGAAAATATTATTAATCTTTGCATTTTTTGAATTAGGAATAATTAACGTGTATTCTCTATATGGTATTATGTAATATATAAAAAAAAATTAATTAACATTAGACGAAATATTACAAATATAGACTAATTAATGAATTAGGTATTAACGTTTACCTTTTTTGAATTAACCTGTATTCCTTATATGGTATTACGTAATGTATATATAACAAAAAATTAATTAATATTACACAGAATATTATGAATATAGACTGATTAATTATGGAAATATTATTATGTTAATATAGACTAATTAATTATGGAAGTATTATTAACGTGTACATTTTTTGAATTAGGGAATAATTAACGTGTATTCCTTATATGGTATTATGTAATATATATATATATATATATATATATATATATATATATATATATATATGTATATATCCTTAAATTCATTAAAATTACACGGAAAAATTATGAATATAGAGTAATTAATGAACTTGGTATTAAAGGTTACCTTTTTTTTAATTAACGTGTATTCTTTATATAGTTCTTTAACGCACACACACACACACACAAAATATATATATATAAGAAAAAATTAATTAACATTACACGAAATATTATGAGTTCAAATAAGGACAACAATATATAGAGGACAAATAATGTGCAAATCACAAATTAATACTAGGCAGACAACTTAATACATAATGACACACAAGAATAAATGTAAACATCAGATTTCGAACTCACGCTCTATAAATTAACAAATCTAGAGCGCGACATACAAACTGGGGCACAGGACTACATTCGGCCATGCACACGACATACCGACTAATGGCACACACTACATCTGTCCTCACAGTCCTCTGTAATATACTTGTCCTCATTTGAATACACACACACACACACACACACAGATATATATATATATATATATATATATATATATATATATATATATATATATATATATATATATATATATATATATATATATATATATATATAGGGAGCCATTCTAATGCAAACACCCTTAAAATACAAACGTGTGGACAAGAACTAGCCATAGGATGCGATAAGATGAATGGATGAGATGTAGCCTATGATGGGAGACGCAGACTACTAATTATTATTAATAAGGGTAATAGTGACAGTGCACACACACCTCCTAATCTGAAACGACTTCTAAACCGTATGCCACCCTATAATTAAGGAATTCAAATACCACGAGGAATGCAATAGTCAATCCGCAACGACAAACACACCACCCAACCGGAACCGATCCCTCGTGCACCCATCGACGTGAGAAACAGACTCCATGGATGCGCGAGGAGACACCATGGCCGACGAAGACCTACCAAATTTTGATGCCAACTTGGACTCCATGGACGACACCAATCCAAGTAAGTACACCATATAGTTGAACCCCTATTACTGTACATATCGATTCGTCAGTGAAAACAACAGTTGGATGCACTGGAATAAATTTTGGGAGTCACAAGTAGTAAATAATTTAACCCTATATGTACTCGTAGCAGATGTGATGGAATTGCATCAATAATTTAACCCTGAATGTACTAGAAATCATGGACTGATTACAGGGGGGTGATGGAAGGGGCTGTAGCTTTGTGTTCATAGAGTGCACCCGTTATTTGTCTCAATTGCACACACCGTAACGTAGTTTGAATATGCATGCACCCACAGATTCTATCGTTTATATTATACGCAATTCTAATATACACCATATAGTTGAACCCCTATTATTGTACATATCGATTCGTCAGTGAAAACAACAGTTGGATGCACTGGAATAAAACTTGGGAGTCACAAGTAGTAAATAATTTAACCCTGTATGTACTCATAGCAGATGTGATGTAATTGCATCAATAATTTAACCCTGAATGTACTAGAAATCATGGACTGATTACAGGGGGGTGATGGAAGGGGCTGTAGCTTTGTGTTCATAGAGTGCACCCGTTATTAGTCTAAAATGCACACACCGTACCATAGTTTGAACATGCATGCACCCACAGATTCTATCATTTATATTATACGCAATTCTAATAACGCTACCAGTGCCAAAAAATGCTACTAATATTTACGGAACACACCTTTGATTAATAGGCAAAGAGCATACTGAAGAAGAAGCAACAGATTGCGAAATGATCATATTACCCGATGGAACGAAACGGTGGTTACCCACCTGCAAAAGTGAATGCACCCGGTACGAAGGGCAACAGTTTGCAACATTAGAAGACGGACTAGCCTTCTACCGGGCATACGCAATTACTGTCGGTTTTGATATCAGAAAAGGAACGATGCGCATGAATAGGGAAGGGAAAGTTCACATAAAATACATGTTATGCTCACGGGAAGGATTCAAGCCCCCCAAGAAGGGCAGTAACACAGTCAACGATATGGTAAACCCCACACAACCAAAGAAAAGAAAGCGGGTGTCAAAAAGAGTTGGTTGTAAGGCCCGAATTGTGATAACAAGGTGTAAGACCGGCAATTATACGGTCCATGCAGTGGAGTTATGGCACACACACTGTCTATGCTCAGACATTGGGAGACCCTTCTTGAAAATAAATAGGAAGCTGGATATTGGACACAAAATATTCCTAGCAAACTATGCAAGGGCAAACATTGGTACTACCAAATCTTGGACACTATACAAAGAAATGGTGGGAAGTTTTAATGATATAGGGGCAACATCCACGAATTTCTGCAACTTCAGAAGGGATTTGTTGGCGTATATTGCTGGAGCAGATGCACAAATGGTGGTAGAAGACATGTACAAAAATAAAGAGGCCAACCCAGACTTCTACTTCGATTTTGATCTAAACGAAGATAGACAACTATGCAGGTTGTTTTGGGCTGACGCAATATCACGGAAGAATTTTGCATGTTTTGGCGACGTGATGTCATTCGACGCTACGTACAGCATGAACAGGTACATATGACTCCAATTAAAGTAGTTTAATTTAATGAAATTGTTATCCAGCACGTTTTAGTACTCAAATACACATGCGTGCACAACTGCTAAACATTGTATGCACAATATAAACCATGAGATCCAATCACCAGCTCTGGTCATTGCAGCGATCGAATAAATGGTTAATTACACTGTGATGTGGTGTGTGCACCCCTGTGTATTCGTGAGTGCAAGACATCATGCATGCAGTTTTGCAATAGAATCTACACGTCGGGCGGCCAAAAAAAAAATGATGCCAGTCTTACTATTATATGTCTGTGCACTAACTGAGAAACAATATAAACCATGCAGATACAAGCTTGTATTAGTACCGTTCACAGGAGTAGACAACCATAAACGAAGCATCACATTTGGGGCGAGCCTCATTGCAAGAGAAGAAGTGGAGTCGTATGAGTGGTTATTAAAAAGCTTCAAAACCGCGATGGGGTATACACCAAGATGTACTATTACGGATCAAGATCCAGCACTAAAGGTCGCAATACCCAACATTATGCCAGAAACGAGACACCGGTTCTGTATGTGGCACATCATGTCAAAAGTCGGGGACAAGGCAGGACCTGCACTGGCAAAGAACGTCGAGTTTAAAAAGGCCCTAAACAATGCAATATGGGATGAAACCTTAAGTGCCACCGAATTTGAATTGAAATGGGCAAAGGTAATGCAAGATTACAACCTTGTTGAGCACAGGTGGTTTAACCAATTGTACGAGGCACATGCATCGTGGATACCTGCATATTTCCAAGATATACTCATGGGAGGACTACTAAAAACAACATCACGTTCAGAATCGGAGAACAGTTATTTCGGAAAATTCACAAATCACCACTGCAGCCTAGTCGAGTTATAATGCAATACAATCGCGCCATAGAAGAACAGAGGCATAACCATGCAAAGTTGAACGCAGATTGTGAAGGTTCAACCCCTGAACCGAAAACCCCGTTGGGCATGGAACGCCAAGCAGCGGCACTGTACACCATCAACATATTCTACGAGTCCCAAAAAGAAATATGGGCCAGAAGTTTCACATGCAAAATCACCAACAAGACACTTGAGGACGGAAACCGGAGGTACGTTGTACACGAAACAGGTGCGAAACTGTACGTGGTAACACACCAAGAATCTACCCACAAAACAGAATGCAGTTGCAACAAATTCTACAGAGTAGGAATCTTATGCAAGCATGTGCTGGCAATTTTCAAGGACGAAGGCATCGAAGAAATACCAGGACACTATATTGTTCCTCGATGGACAAGAGACGCATGTGCACGGCAAATGTATGATATTGTGTTGAAAGGCAGCCCTAATACGCAAGGGGGGAACGAACTCAAATCAGTTGCGAACCAACTCTGGAATGAATTCTACAACTTCTTAGGATTGGCTAATGGAAGTGAAAATGAAATGGCTCAAATTTTGACAACAATGCAGCAACTAAACGGGAAGTTAAAGAGTGCTAAGCAACAAGCCAACCAAAGCACCAGCCACCAATCAGTGATTGAATCAATAGTCAACTCTACTGCACCTACCGAGATCCAAATCAAGCCACCCAATGTTGTCAAAAACAAGGGCAGCGGGAAACGATTAAAGAGCAATAAAGAGAAAGAAATGGAAAGAACGAAGAAAAAGGTGAGGACATGTGCTACTTGCGACCAACCGGGCCACGACAACCAGAATTGTCCAGAAAGAAAAGACATATCAGATGAGTAGCCTCCCGTGGTTTAAAATACTACGAATTCTAGCACAATTTAAAGTTGAATTAGATACTTGTCAAATTTTAGAATTTTATCCATCACTAGTTCGTTTGTTCAGCTATGCATACTGACCACCATCAATGTACACACAGTTTTTTTTTTTAAGCCTACAGTGTAATAGTCAACTACTTAATTCGCTCATCTATGCATACTGTGTACCATCAACGTGTACACACAGTTTAATTTCATACCATTTTCACACACGACTTTAAAATTAAATAGTTGTGCACTAAGCCTACACACTACTAGTCAACTAGATAATTTGTTCCACTACGCACCCGGTCTCCCACCACTGTGCACCCACCAGTTCTATTAGTAAGCCTATAAGTTAACAGCAAAACACTCACTACGGATAACTTTATTAAACACACAACACATTTTTGACATGTAACCCATTGCGAATGCACACTAATTAACGCCAAGGTGCACCCACATATTTAACAATAACCGTATACAATTAAATTTAAATGGACTGTTTTTAACTTTACCCACGAAACCCAATGTATTACGAACAGACATGCCCACTTAGAACCGCCACTGCGCACACGTGTTTTTAATTAGTAAACCCTACTAGCTAATAGTAAACTACTTAGGTGAGTTTAATTTCATACCATTTTCACACATGGCTTTAAAATTAAATAGTTGTACACGCACAGTAGATAATATAGACCTACTGCCTTCTGTGTAATTTAGATGAATAGAGAATCATGCATAATTCATTAACCTATGCACCCCAAGTTAAAACACTGTGCATCCAAACACACACAGCGCCGCAACCCAACAGCAAATGAGATACCAAAATTTAATTAAACAAGAAGCAATTAATAACATAATTTTGACACTAATAAACAAACAACCAACTGCGAATAAACAAACGTCAAAAGAAACCCCATGAGGTGCAGCCCTTACTTAGCAAAAAGAATGAGAACCCAACAAACTAAATACCTGCTTAATCCCCCATACACAGTAACAATGGTAGCTACATAAAAACCCCAAAAAGGTACGCATACCACGGCAAAAACTACGAACTAATATCAATTAAACCAAAGACACAAACCCCACCCCGGACCTACGGGATCAATGACACAAACTTATACGCCCGAACAACATTCCTAGACTTTAGTAAATTGAACTCTGATGTTGCGATTTCCTTCATGTAGCGTAATCTTAACTTCTTGAGCTGAGCACCGTTACCTTTGCTAAGCCCACACCTCCATCTGGCCACTCCCTGCCCCATGTAAGACTCCATATGACGCATGACATAGACCCCGCAGTCAACCGTATTCTTGCCATCACGCCAACTCATCTGCATACGCTTTGGCTCCAAACACGCACACATCGTAGACCTCCCCGGATGAATAGTGGTGAAGAATTCCATTAGCATGCCAAACTATAAGACACCCACAGATTGCAGACATCAAAAATCGAAAAGCGCAAAGAGGTAAAAAAGTACCAGACTGTGCGAAATATATAACATACCAAATCCTCTGGGCAATCCCCATATTTCAGCTTCATATTAGGCTGAAGAGTTGAATTGTCAATTATCTCACACCGGAATTTTCAAAAATCAACGCATATAAGGAAGTAATGTTTCTGACGCAGAATGGGGAACATAAACTGCAAAAAAACACCGACGCACCACCTTAAAACCAAAATGACTACAAGCAAACAAACTAGCACAACCTGCGTGCACACAAAACTCAGTCCCTATGGACACAAAATATGATGGACAGGTAGTCTAGAAGCCATGTAAAACAAAAGAATTCATACCAAATCAACTTCAGAAATGTAACGATATGGCGTCACCTGAAACTCCTCGTGCAGCCTATCCTTGAACAACGCAAACCGCTTATCCCGATCAAGGGTGGTATCCACGACAGTATGAAGCTTCAAAAGGAGTAAAATTAGCACAACAAAAAAAAACCTAAACGTGTCAAACTACCATGCCACAAAAAGATGCAATTACCAACCGTGGAAAGAGTGGAGGCAAAAAAACAAGAAGGGGCATTCGGTTCCTTATACCGCTCCCGACAATTTAACAGACACGCCCATGCATCTACAACACCAACCTCAACCAAAGACCCGGGTGCCAAAGACATCAAATCCGCCCACCGCGCCACACTACCACCCACATCAACCAAAATCTCCTCCCTACACAAAAGTAAATAAAAAAAAAAAAAAAAAAAAAAAAAAAAAAAAAACACCAATCAAACACACATAACCAACACAATTTGTCTATTAACAAATGGTTCCCGAAACTAACATGTCCCCCTCAGCTGCACACAACAACCAGTTGCAAATAACCGAGTCCTCTGGATTGTCTAAAGGTGGCAACCCAAGATCCAGATGCGACAACTGCAAAGGCAAAGCATCCGGCGGGATAGTAACACCCCTAGGCCGTTTGAAAGGGGCTTGACAAATACGCCCGTCAGACTGACACCGGCTAGGTTCACCCACACGAATAGATTGCTGCACAGAAAGAAGTGTGAGCATCAACAACCAAGTCCTGAATTTAAATTACAAAATGCCACTTACCTAAACTACGCACCCATAAGTTCTTGCAAGTGCAACCATTTATACACATCCATACACACACATCAAACCAATTCCATCACACCAAACTATGAGTAGATAGCTAACCATGAGAAGTGACAACACCAACACCCAAGTCTAGAATTCAAACTACAAAATGCCACCTACTTAAACGGAGCACACAAAAATTCCTGCAAGTGCATCCATTTATACACATCCAAGCACACATAAAAAACATTACTAAATAACAAACCACACAACTACCCAACTCTTCAAATGAACATACAATTGCCACTTAATAAAACCACCCACGCATAAATCCCAGCACACCTACTATAAAAAAAATAACAAAGCACCCGAATTATGGAAAAAAAAAAAACCAATGAAAAAAATGCACACATCAAATCCATCATTTAATACCACATCAAATCCCATTCCTTTATACACAAACATACCAAACCAGGCTCAATCGGCGCATCAACATGCGCAGGTAACTACGAACGCCCCGGGCAAGGACCCTCAGACCAAATATCACACACAATGGAATCGTCATCACCATGCGTATGTCCCTCCACATACTGCGGGCCACAACCCCCCGAACAAGCGCAATCCCGACCCCCATTAGGAAGAGCCACATCAGTACCTGGAGCACCTAAAGCACCACCCATGCAATCATCACCATGCTCTTGGATCGGACCACCCTAGCAAAAAGGAATAGAGTGAAAAAAAAGTAATGAGTTATAACCCAAAAAAAACCAGAAACAATGTGAACGCACACAAGTAACCCAACAAAACTGACCTCAACACCAGAAAAAGGACGACCAGTATTGGCCGGAGTCAAACCACGAACCACATCCCCAATATATATATATATATATATATATATATATATATATATATATATATATATATATATATATATATATATATATATATATATATATATATATATATATATATATATATATATATATATATATATATATATATATATATATAAGAAAAAATTAATTAACATTACACGAAATATTATGAGTTCAAATAAGGACAACAATATATAGAGGACTGTTAGGACAAATAATGGGCAAATCACAAATTAATACTAGGCACACAACTTAATACATAAAGACACACAAGAATAAATGTAAACATCAGGTTTCGAACTCACGCTCTATAAATTAACAAATCTAGAGTGCGACATACAAACTGGGGCACAGGACTACATTCGGCCATGCACACGACATACCGACTAATGGCACACACTACATCTGTCCTCACAGTCCTCTGTAATATACTTGTCCTCATTTGAATACACACACACACACACACACACACACACACACACACATATATATATATATATATATATATATATATAGGGAGCCATTCTAATGCAAACACCCTTAAAATACAAACGTGTGGACAAGAACTAGCCATAGGATGCGATAAGATGAATGGATGAGATGTAGCCTATGATGGGAGACGCAGACTACTAATTATTATTAATAAGGGTAATAGTGACAATGCACACACACCTCCTAATCTGAAACGACTTCTAAATCGTATGCCACCCTATACTTAAGGAATTCAAATACCACGAGGAATGCAATAGTCAATCCGCACCGACAAACATACCACCCAACCGGAACCGATCCCCCGTGCACCCATTGACGTGAGAAACAGACTCCATGGACGCGCGAAGAGACACCGTGGCCAACGAAGACCTACGAAATTATGATGCCAACTTGGACTCCATGGATGACACCAATCCAAGTAAGTACACCATATAGTTGAACCCCTATTACTGTACATATCGATCCGTCAGTGAAAACAACAGTTGGATGCACTGGAATAAAACTTTGGGAGTCACAAGTAGTAAATAATTTAACCCTGTATGTACTCGTAGTAGATGTGATGGAATTGCATCAATAATTTAACCCTGAATGTTCTAGAAATCATGGACTAATTACAGGGGGGTGATGGAAGGGGCTGTAGCTTTGTGTTCATAGAGTGCACCCGTTATTAGTTTCAATTGCACACACTGTACCGTAGTTTGAATATGCATGCACCCACAGATTCTATCGTTTATATTATACGCAATTCTAATATACACCATATAGTTGAACCCCTATTATTGTACATATCGATTCGTCAGTGAAAACAATAGTTGGATGCACTGTAATAAAACTTGGGAGTCACAAGTAGTAAATAATTTAACCCTGTATGTACTCATAGCAGATGTGATGGAATTGCATCAATAATTTAACCCTGAATGTACTAGAAATCATGGACTGATTACAGGGGGGTGATGGAAGGGGCTGTAGCTTTGTGTTCATAGAGTGCACCCGTTATTAGTCTCAAATGCACACATCGTACAATAGTTTGAACATGCATGCACCCACAGATTCTATCGTTTATATTATA